TATCTGAAACCAACTGATGTATATATGTACAGCATATATAAATACAGTTGCTCAGGATTACTACAAAGTTGAGTTTGTGCTGTTTTCTCAACCTCAGCTGTTTTCACCGACTCTTCGACCGACGTTCCACAACAGCTTGCCCAATAGAAATATATGGTACAGTGGTGCGTGTCTTAGCAACATAAAATGTTCTGTGACGTAGCTCCGCCCAAAGAATAGGGAGGTGTGCATCTTCTCAAGCATTGTGATTGCGGTTTTTCCCCCTAATATGATAGATTCTCTATTACTTACATCAATAGAATTAAAAGTAGTAAAACGAGCAGATTTCATTGCATGGATTACGTTCACATTAGTATTGTATGGCGTTACATTACATTATGAACAATAGAGGGCAGTATGAACTCACTTTCTGATTGCCTCGTATATACGTATACATCTTTTTAAATTCATCAAAACAATGTCAGAAAAATTTAAGTCACACAAGTATTAATTGCATAAAACAGAATTGCATCAGATAGTTTAGTGTCAATTCCTCAATGGTGCGAGCAGGATTATCACGAAGATATTCTAACATTATGAGAATACCACAAAGCTGTATAACTAACTAAAACTCTGGCTTGAAACTCTCTGCATATTTAGCACATTTCTCATTCACCAACATTCATAAGAAAAAAAATGTTCATTTCCCTATGGCTGACAACTAATATCAAAATTCACATGGGACAATTAAGCATCATAAAGAAAACTAGAATATATAAATTAAGAATATACTATAAAGAATATACTTTGTAAGAATTTACATCTGAATACAGAGTATAACATACCCCTTCATTTAAAATCGTGGCAGGGTGGACAGTCAATTTTATTTGGGGGTGGGTGAATAAAAATGATTTATATACAGTTGTAACTGACTATATAAAACCATCGTTACAAGATGAATAATTTTTGTTTTCGGCAAAAACTCTCAATGCCAATTTCACTTCCCTATTTATTTTTCTGTATCTGGAGAAAAGTATCAAAATAACACAAATAAGTTTTTATATTCTGTTTTTCTACTTTCAACAAAATCAGGTGTTCTGTCTTCTGTTTGATTGCAAAATTGTTTACTGTAAATCAATTTTCACTGAAAAGACTTATTGGATGTTATGTATGGAATTAATTTTCACTGATGTTTGATGAGTTGAATGTAAAATATAGGAGAAAAAGGATATTCGCTGGATTTTTTTTTCACTTAATCATCTCCAACAAAAATAAATTATTTTACACCAATAAACATGCATCACTTATGTTCAAGGATAAACCACATACATATATTGTAAGTATCGTTAAAAATAAAAAACAATAATCACATTTTTCCTAAAAATCATTGCCATATGCTTGATAAATTAGACCAGTTAGAATTATTTCATGTTTTACATGGGAACATTATCCAAAACATGGTTAAATTGTGCCCTCATATGGGCAAAATGTAAAATCATTTGTTTAAGAACCAATAGTAATTCTCCTGGCCTGTGAAAGATCAAATACCAAATGAATGACAAAACACTGATTCAGCAATCAACAGTGAGCAAATGTCTTACATTTTTAGTTTTTTATGGCATAAGTCATTTATCACCACATGCAGCCATAATGTTTGAATAATAATAATAATAATTTTTTAACTTTTACAAGACATTGTCAATGACATAGTTTATATTTAAATAACACAACTAACACAAAATTATTGTCTTGTTTTTGTAACAACTAGAAATAAAATCAATCACATCAAAATAAAATTAACATGGCAGTCAGTTTGCCATTTTGAACCAAATTAATTGTTTGTTCATACCAAGTTTGAATGAAATTGTTCTAGGCATACTGAGGTTGATGATGAAAATGGGTCCAGATAAATTTCATCAAAATAACAGACAAGGACATGCACCCATCATGTCTTGCCTTGAATAGTTTTTGAAAAAAATGAAAAGAATTTACATCACAACGTATGCTGCTAATGGATTCTTCAAATATAAATAGCTACAAAAAATATTGTGCCCTCAATTGATACATAACACATATAACCCAGTCAGCTTTGTTTTCTTAAATTATTTCTCCCTTTTATTATAGTTAACTTCATAACAGTTCAGTTACCCACTTTTTGGTAAAAATGAATAAAACACTAAGCATATAGTGATAACAACACAGAAGACGTCAGCAATGTTTTGATCTAATCTAAGACCTGTTCATGCCACTGGGTATTTAGATTAAACGACTGCCATGAGTGTGCAATGGATAAACATATATTTTATGTGTAATATAATACTTATATCAGATTTATTGAAGCAAGAGTAGTAATTCCACATTTGAGATATTATTTATCTGATGTACTCTTTTCCCTGCCACTAAATGGCAAAACTGAAACCATGAGGGATTTTCCAATACATTTTATCTCATTTACATACATGATTATTACCGTTCAATGTGATGCCTTAAACACATATAAAATAAATTGTTTACTACAAACACTTTTTATGCGTATTCTAGTAATGATTCATAATCTGGTGTACAGACAAGACGATGTTTAATATGTCCCAAAACTGACAAGTTTTTTTCATCTTCCTTTGTCTTTATAGATACCAAGTCCTACAACAATTAAAAATTATTCATTAGTCATGGAAACATAATCTTATTAGTTATACAAACATATTTTTTTTAGTTATGCAAACATAATCTCATTAGTTATGCAAACATAATCTTATTAGTTATGCAAACATAATCTTATTAGTTATGCACACAAAATCTTATCAGTTATGCAAACATAATCTTATTAGTTGTGCACACATAATCTTATTAGTTATGCACACATAATCTTATTAGTTATGCAAACATAATCTTATTAGTTATGCAAACATAATCTCATTAGTTATGCAAACATAATCTCATTAGTTATGCAAACGTAATCTCATCAGTTGTGCAAACATAATCTTATTAGTTATGCAAACATAATCTTATTAGTTATGCAAACATAGTCTTATTAGTTATGCAAACATAATCTCATTAGTTGTGCAAACATAATCTCATTAGTTATGCAAACATAATCTCATTAGTTATGCAAATATAATCTCATTAGTTATGCAAACATAATCTTATTAGTTATGCAAACATAATCTCATTAGTTATGCAAACATAATCTCATTAGTTATGCAAACATAATCTTATTAGCCATGCAAAAATAATATCTCAAAAATAATTGGGTCAGTGTTTATCCAAAGTTTATTACAGTAATCACAGAATGTATGACTTGCAAACATCAAACATAACTTAAACAAAAGTAAGTGGAAAACAAATCAGCAAATTTCAGGAATTTAACTTTCATATAAGAATAACTGACCTGTAAAAATCCACATGGTGTACCCATATTGACATCAAGTACCACATTGCCAAGAACTAGTCTAGTCTTCCCTGATTTTAATACTTGTAATTTACCGATATAACTCTCTGATATGTTTTTCAATGTACAATTGGGGTCAGATTTTTCTTCTTCTTTGTCCTGTCAATAATTAAATGGGCAATGTTATTAGAACTGCACATGAGCAACCCATATCACTTTTCTATTCTTTTTTTCCGCTCCTTGTTTGGCTTTTTTCAACATCATGCATCTAGAGTATGCCACTAAAGTGATGACATGGTCGTAACCAGTGTACCCATTAAGCAAACATATGATGCGTCACAGATGAGTTACTTTGTGAGGCAACTAGCTTTATGTTAATTTTTCGGGCTCATACCACAGAAAATTATAGATTGACATAGTGATCTACCAAACTGTCTCGTGTATAATTACTGAAGTACTGTAATTTGGTAATATCAAATTCTCATTTTATAAACTTCATAGCTCCCTTTCGCAACATAACATTTAATTTTTATGGATTCCCAGCCACCAAGCTGACAACTTGATTTTTTAGAATTCCATTAGGAGTCATGTTAGGGGGCACACTGGTCGTAACTAATACTTTATTGTCATAAACAGACTTCATCTATGCTGTGACACAGATGACCACATACATGTAATTAGGTTTTACTAATGTTGTGTTTTAACATCTATGCTATAAATTGTTACCTTGCACTTATCTTGAATTAAATCAATATTTGCAAATCTGTAAGTATGTATGTTACCATAAGAAGCAGTTTAAACAAAAGGAATTGATTGCAAGACCATAGATGGCGATATACCATTTATGAGGATTTTCCTCCCAAAAAGAAAACACAACAGTTGTATGTATATAATTTCTACATATATACTATAAAGTACTTTTTACATTTGGAATTTATTTTCGCTGAAGAGAAAATAAAATTCTGTGAAAATATTGTTGTTTCTATGTTTTACATTCAACTTTCAGTAAAAAAAAATGTCATACAAAACAGACAAAATGTCAGCAGATATCAGTATACCGTATTACCCCGGGCACGCGCCCAGGGGCCTGAACATACAAAATCGGGGAAAAATGGGGGTGGGCGCTTACCCGAGGACCACCCCAAAAAAGATTTTAAAAAGTTGTTTTTGGGATCGTATGATAAGGTCAAATAAAGGAAAGCTTTCGTACACGTTGTAGACGTACTTATTTCTTGATTTATGCGAGGTTTCAATAAACGTGAGCACTCGGTCAAGAACTGTGGGAACACTAAGACACGGAGTCGAATTTCAAGAATAAAAC